ACACCCACGTGGAGGATTTCTGATAAGAATTCCGTGCTTCCCCAGCAATGGATTTTCTTAGTGTAATTGCATAAAATCCAGTTAGCCTTACTTCTCCTTGCTAAAAACTGAAATTTTGTTGTGGCAGCTTTTTGTACACAGAGATGTCTGAAGCTGGCTTATTTTCACATGCTGAATTGTCCATGCTCATGAGGACTCGCTATTACTCTGTGCATTTGTGTACTATGAAGGAAAAGGCAGGAACATGGGAAAACGTCAAACCCATGCTCTTCCTCTTCATCTTTTGTTATCAACTTCATAAACACTAGAAATGATAAAAATGCTACTGTCACTGCAAATGCTACAATTAGATTTTCACTAACTGAAGTCTCCTTTCCTCCTCCAGTAGAACTCTTATTTTAAAACCAAAGCCACCTCATCACCACAGTAGCTAAACACTGGTTTTCAGCAAATCTTAAAGTCTTACATGAAATACCCTCACTGGGTTTAGAAACAAAAGTTCAAATTGGTAAGTCAGGCTTCTTAACAAAATAGGGCCAGAACACTAAAGCAGGCTCTTCTGTCAATTTTACATTCCATGAAAAAGTTAGCTGCAACTTAGCACTTGATTATGAATATTAAATAAAAACAATGTAGTCATAAAAAACTATTCAGACCAATGCATATTTTTTTAATGAAAACCAATATCTGATTTCATAAAGTTAACACAGAGAACTTAGTATTAAATAGCATAATACACACTGTAGCCCAAATAGCACGTTCAGTGGCAAAAACTCTTCAGTAAGCTCTCATCTCAATAGCAACACAGATGAAAGCCAGCAGCTTCACACAACTCTAGAATACCTTTTTTTAAAAGTTGTTCTATGGAGGAAGTTGGACATTTGCATGAGATTCTCAGCTGGCAGAATTCAGTAAGACCACTCACACATCAAGATGGGCATTTATCAGGAAAGCTTTGTAGGGAGCATACTCTGAGGGAAAGAGCACAACTAACAAGATGTGGGTTTGATTCCATTCTTGCTCACACTGCTAAATGGCTGCAGACAAGCCTGTGCTGCTTTCACTGTGCTGTATCTCAGGTGCCTAGAACAGGAATAAGAAGTGACTGTTCCTTGTTTTGAACTGTGTGATTACAGCATGACCTATGTGCTTCTCCAGACAGGGCACAAGCACATGAACAAGGCAATGCCAATTATTAATAATATAGTTCAGAGAACAGTGTGAGATTCGTTGTTTTTATTTTTCCCTAAAACACTGCAATCTAACAGCAGGCTGTCAATCCACTCTTCAGGTAACCCCTACACCAATTCAGGTCTTACCCCATCTGAAACCCATCAAGAGGAGTGACAGCTGGGGGTCTTCTATGGAACGCTATGCATCTCCAAGCACCAGGCTCAGCACAGCACCCTCAAAATGAAGCACTGCACTGTCACTAAAATTTAAATAACAATAGTTATAAATAAATAGCAGTAGTGGTAAAAAAAAAAAAACAACAAAACAGGGAGTCTGCTTCTGACAGTGAATTCCCCTAATAATAAGGGGAAGAAAGGAAAAGGCATAAAGATAACACAGCAGAAGAAAAAGCTGACTTCTTCCTGTTTCTCCCCATACCTCCAGGAGCAGTTTGAAATACACATGACCATTATATCAAGCCAGTTTTGCAGACACCTAAGTAATAAAGAAAGCATACATTATTATGGTTACAGTGAGGTAAAACAGTATCCATACTGTGCTAAAACAAACTTAATTCGCTCAGGTAAACTGTTCCCATATACAGGCATAGTGCGATTTAATGAAGGGAAGTTTCATTAGCCTCCATCTGCAGGTGGAGAAGGACATATGGCTGCATTTCCATGATATGCTCTGACCCCACGAACCTTCAGCCCACCACAGCCCCCCCTGGGCCATCACCCACACACAGGGCACAGGATGCAATCGAGGCCCACAGTTTGGAAAGCAGCTGCTGGTTTTAACAGTGACAGCGTGAGTTATGGTGAGGAATTAGAACCAGAGTTTCAGTTCAGCTCCAGCTTTAATTTCTAGCATCTTCCTCCATCAAAGGTCCACCTTCTCACAAACACAGAACCCTGTATGTGCCATACAGAGGCCAAAGAGAGGTGGCATTTCAGCTCACAGCTGCCCAGGTGTTACTGCAGGTGTGTTTATAGCCTTCACACCACAGCAGAGCTGACATGCGTGTGGCATATACCTCACTGGCATGTTACACTACTACACATAGTGAATAGCAACTCTATCCCCATCCACTTGCTCCAAGTTCCCTAACATCCTACCAGCCTGCTGCAAGCCCTGTCCAGAACATCACTGACCATCACCCACAGACTACACGCAGCAGCAGCAACCTGGAAGAACTTTCAGCTCTGAACGCAAGCAAAGATATCAGTGAATTTAGCAAAGTTTATCACATGCTCAAAGATGTTTGCGTGCTTAGAGGACTGCAAGCTGGAGAACCACTAACTTCTGAACAGAGTGCATTACAAGCGTTCTGGAAGAAAAAAAGTGTGAGGTATAAAACAAACGCATGGTTAACTCTGATATTTAATGTGGAAAATGTGACATTTAAGATCTTTAATTATTCACATGACATCTATGACAGAGAACGTTTTCCTCCTTGAATGGGAAAACAAGTATGGACAAATTCCTCTCACCATAATTCCTTCCCTAAACAGAGCTCCCACTGAAACCTACAGGAGCTCTGCAGGCACTGGGTGCAGAGCAAGCAGTCCTCAACAACTCCAAAGTGCCCAGGGCAACTTCCTGACAAACTGTAAGTTTAGGTCAAAACACAAGCTTCCTAAATTGTGGGTCTGCATTGAAACACTTTATCAGCTCGCGGCGCTGAGAGGAAGGGGAGAGCACAACAAACTTTTGAGACAGGGACCAATGTCTGAGAATTTCTCGTGGCCCCTTCCTAAGCAGATCTCCCCCTCCCAGCCTGTGACACATGGGCACTCTACCTGGTGCTGCTTCCCAAGGCCGTCCTGTACGCCAGGCCTGGATTACTGAACTCCAGCCATGGATGGATACTTCAGTGAGACTTTGTAATAAAGCACATCTTCGTTGTTACCAAAACAAGCACTCCTTAAAGTAAACGGATATTTCCAGTCGTGGCCAAATCTAACAAAATCTTTATTCTCCCCTTTAAACGGCCACGCTATTTTTATTACATTTTAAGCTATGAGGAAATATACTTCTCAACCTCCTCTAAAACTTCCATCGTGCCTTTTTGTTCAAAAGGACACTTTTCTTCGCTATTTGTTCGTTCCAGATTGATATTAGGCAAGTGCTACACTTAGCTCTACACACAAAACGGAGGCCCACTGGTCTTAGAAGGTGCAGGCAGATGATTATCTCCACTTCACTTCTAAGACTGAACTCCCATGCACACAGAAGGCTTCGTCATATGAAACTAAAGCTACAAAATGACTGAAGAGCCCACCTCAAGCAAAGCCTCCATGGTGCCCTTGCCCATTATTGTACACCACTGCTCCAAATAAAAAAGAAATTATAGGCTCTTATAGACCTCTAACCCAACTCTTACCTGAAAACACAAAATTAAGCCCAAAAATCAGCATATGTATACTCAGCTCTGAATAACAGTTTGAAGCTTACCAGCCAGTTTTTGAATTTCCCAGTGTGTTCTTACTTTGGGAAAATCATTGCATCAATTACACTATGCAGAGCAGGATGTCAGTAATGCTATAGAACAGAAAGCAACGATCTGTCACAAAGAATTTCAGTAGTTTAATCTGGTGTTTATAGTCTCAGACCTACACACAGCAATCCCACTGCCCATAACATCTGGAAAATGGAGATTTGGGTGCAGTTCTACAGGAACTGAAGGAAAGGCAGCACTATATCTCCCCTACCTCCCCATAGCCATAATCCCAGCCTGAAGAACAGGTCCACAGCCACAGCATCACAGCTGCTCCCTGCAGCCCCCTTCTTGCTGGCGTGTTTGGGACCATCACTTAACACAAGTCAGCTGTACTCTGACTGGAAAAGGTCACGTTATTAATCCTTCATGTTTATGAGTGCTAAGCTTATCCCAAATGCATGTCTCATCTTGTTTTCTGTTAAGTATACAAAATTGCCATTAAAAAGAAGTGTGTGTGTTTAATCTCCCACTTCCTTATTTTAAGCCCAAAGCAGTTCAGTGGCACCGTGGGCAAAGGTACGAAAGATGCTCTGTGTGGCACACGCTTCATACTACCTGTGAACACAACCCCACAAGTGTACCACCTCTCCTTTACATGACCTCATCAATCCAGCTCCAAAACCAAATTCTTCATCAGAAAGTGTCAGAACTTTTCCACAGCATACGGAGAGAACAGGAAGCTCCACACTCAAAGGTGAGGAATACTACCAAGTCACTAAGATTCATCTTTCAGATTGAGAGGTACCTGCATTCACCAATGCCAAAAGAAAAAAAAACAACAAAAAAACAGCAACACAGAAACAGTATGGGTGGAATTCTAATTAACGCTGTTTACGTTTAGAACCGAACAAACTCCTGCTGTAGTAGCACTGCTGTTATGTCAAACTTCTTGCTGATTCCTGAACCACAGAAATTTCCCATTATCTGCTCCAATGGTTGGTATTTTCCATGTTTTTCCCCTCACCACTATCTCAGCAAGTTTTTGACTGCCACACTGCACTCTGCACATCTTAATATTACTTCGGTTCAAAACTTCATCCCTAAGCCAATGAATTCATCATCCTTACAAAATAGGGTTCCAAAAAGTAAGAGACAAAGCATCACTGAAAGGATGGGAGATGCAGTGATGCACAGGTTATTCTGTTTGACACCTGTACAGAAACTTTGTAAGCCAGCTGCTGCTGCCAGCACCTGGAGAAGACATGTTTCCTGAGGTAGCAGAACCCAAATGAGCATCTTCCATGTCTGAGGCAGCACCGAGAGCTGCTCTGTCTCAGGAGCAAGAAGCGAGCTCTTTTTCTGCGCATATGCTTTACATACTCACCCAGGAAGGCAAGTGGAAACTACAGACAGACGAAGATGAAGCTGTCTCAAAGCCTTTGTCATGTGATAGTGACCTATAAAGTATCAAATAAAGGCACACCATCAGCACACCGTCATTTTACAATATCACAGCCCGCCGCGGCGCTGATGAGAGGAGTGGTCCCAAAACTTGAAGGCAGCTTTCCCCTCGCCCCACCCCACCTGAGCTCCGAGCACAACACGGCAGCAGCAGGAAGCCTTTGGGAAGGCGCAAACAAAAGATGCACCGTGGCTGTGGAGTGCACAGGGAGCAGGTCGCCGTGCGTGCAGCAGCAGCAGGGTGGGTTATTCCTCCTCCCTCTGCCCGGCGGCAGTTGGGTGCACACGCAGCACTGCCAGCAGCACGCGTAGGGTTGCCCCACGCGAGATCATCGCCGCACGGGAACAAGGGGCGAGGCGGAAAGTTGCGCACGGGGGCAGCGGGCAGCACCGGGCGGCCGCAGGTACCGGAGCCCGAGAGAGATGGCTCCGGGCAGAGCGGCTCCCCGCAGCACGGGGGCCCAGGCCGCCGCCCGTGCGAATTGTAGGGCCAGCGGAACCCGGGCTGCGGGGTGGGGTGGGAAGGAAAGGTATTAAATATGGAGCGAGGCTGCCGCCAGCCGGGGTTCGCCGCGGCTCTGCCCCCACAGAGACACCTCCGGTCCCCATCAAGTTTGCATCTTAGTTACAAAATGTCGATCTCGAAGGCTGACAAGACACAGGGAGACGGGGAGAGGAGCGGAGAGCGAGCGAGCGAGAGTCAGGGAGAGAGCGAGAGAGAGCGAGCGAGAGAGAGAGAGAGAGAGAGAGAGAGCGCAGAGAGTCCATCTTGCTTTGAGGGGGGAGGAGAGCGGCAATAATGCAGCGCATAAATCTCGCCCTCCCGGGGGGGAAACTCTGCCCAACACCTTTGGGGGCGGGTGGCGGGGCCGCGGGGCTCGGGGCGCTGCGAGCCGCCCCCCGGCGGGGCCCGGCCGCGGCGGTGGCAGCGCGCACCTCCCGCCGCTCCCCTCCTCCTCCCCGCGGGCCCGGGCGACGATCCCGCCGCCGCCGCTGCCACCGGGAGGAGGTGCCGCCGCCGGGAGCAGCGCGGAGCCCGGCCCCCGCCCGGCGCCGCTCGGTGCCGCCGGGCTCGGCGCGGGCCCCCGGCGGCGGGGCTCGGACGTGTCACCGGCAGGACGGGCAATGGTTTCGGCGCCCCAGGCCCGAGTGACCGCCGCCGGCCTGGCGGGGCCCCGGCCTCCCCGCGCGCACTCACCTCCGAAAAACAACTTTTACACGCGGGCCTCCCCCGGAAAAAGTCGCGAATCCGCCCCTCGCGCGGCTCAACCCTCGCGGCCCCCGGCCCGGCCCGGCCGCCGGGGGGAGCCGGGCTGGCTGGCTCGCTCGCTCGCTACCCGCCGCGCGGGGCGGAGGGCGGGGAGCCACCGCCGGTGCTGCCTCTCGCCCCGCCGCGCGCGTCCTCGCATCGCCGCCTTTTACCTTCCTCGCTCGGCGGAGCGGCATTCCCAGCGCAGACCTGCTGCCGTGCGGCGCCAGGATTAGCGGCGCTGCCCGCCCGCTCCGTTCCTCGCCGCCAGCCCTTCCTTCCCCGTCCTCCTCCTCCTCCTCCTCCTCTTCCCCGCCTGCCTACCCCGGATCGGCTCTCCCAGCCGCCGCGCAAGTTTCATACATTGCAAATCAACCCGAGAGGAGGAAGAGCGAAGCGGCTGCCGGGGGGGAGGAGAGCGGCGGCGACGGGCTGCGGGAGAAGGGCTGCTCCCCGTAAGGCGGCGCGACCCGGGCTCGCGGCGCCGAAGAAGAGCCCGGCGCCCACCCGGCGCCCCTCGGGGCGGCCCCCGCCAAGTTTTCTGTCACCGTCGCCCCCCCGATGTCACCGCTCACCTCCGCGGCCTGCCGCTCCGCCGCCAACTCGCCGAGCGGACCCCCCCGTTTAGCCCCGCCCGCTCCTCACCGCCCCCCGGGGCCGGGGCCGCCGCCGCCCCGGGCGCATCGCCGATGACTGCCGGAAAACGCGCAGGCACCCGACTCCCCGCCCGGCCCGGCCTCGGGGCCGCCGTCTCCTCCACCGCCGCGGCGGGCGGTACGCGGTGCTCTCCCCGGCGGCCCCCGGCCCTCTGTCCGCCCCCCGGCGGGCGATGCCGCCCCTCGGGATGAAGTTTGCCCGCCGCCCTGTCAGCTCGGCGGCCGAGCAGCCGCCGATGGCTCGCCCTCCTCCTCCTCCTTCCCCTTCCTCTCCGCGGCGGCAGAGGTGCCCGCTCGCAGCGCAGCCTGGCACCGGCCGGCCTACCGCTGCCTCCCCTCCGTCACAGCTCTCCGCGTCTCGCCGCGAGCCCACCCGCCCTCCCCTGCCCAAACTTTCCGACGCGGGCAGCGGCCGCCCGAGCGACAGGGCAGTGCCGGCGGCCGCAGCCGCACAACGCACGCCGAGCCCCGCGCCTACCCGCCGGCCGCTGCCGGGGCCCGGGGGGCTGCCCGGCCGCCGAGGCGCGGAGAGGAAAGTGCGAGGCGCGGGCACCCCGCCGCCCCCCGCTCGGCCGCTCGCCGCCCGCGCTCCCACGCACTCACCTCGGCGGGGCCGGAGAGCGGGCAGGCAGCGCGCCGCTGGGCCGGAGCGAGGCGCGGCGCGCGGCGGAGCCCCTCCGCCTCGGCGCCCGCGGAACGCGGCTCCACACAGAGCCATGCAACCCGGGCAGAGCCACAACACTCCCCGGGATATAAGGCGGCCCGCCATTGGCCGGCGCGCTGAGGGACGGGCCCGGCAGCCATACAGCGCCGCCGTTACACCCGCGGCCCGCCGGGGAGCCGCCGGCGCACACACACACACACACACACACACACACACACACATAGACACACACATACAAACACACACATACATACGCACACAAACACACATAGTCCCCGCACACGCTCACACAAAGATTGCCGAGCGGGGCTCGGGGCGGCCGAGCGGGGCAGGTAGCGGGGCCTCCCCGCCAGCAAGGCGACGCGGGGCGCTGCCGCTGTCCGCCGGCCGCTGTCCGCCGGCAGAGCGGGGATGGCCGTGAGAGAGAGCTACGCGTGCCCCGGGCGGCGCCGCGGGGCTACGGGGTGCGGGCACGGCCCGTTCCGACCCCGCACAGCCGCCCCCGCCATCCCGGCGGGCTCCCGCGTCCCCGCCCGTAACTTCCTCTGTCAAGTTGGGAGCGGAGAAGTTGTGGCGGGCGTTGCTGCTCGGCCCCGAGGCGCGGTGCCGGGGCCCGGGCGGTGCGGAGGCGGGCGGCGGTGCCCGGGTGCTGCGGGGCGCGGCTGGGCTCAGAGGGCCTCGCCCCGTCGGGCTGCGGGCTGCGGAACCGCCGAGTGCAGCCGGGGCTGCGGCTGCGGGCGCTGGCGGACGGCAGCGGCGCCAGGGGGACGCTGCGGGGTTCGGCGCGATCTGCGTGGAAAAGCTCCGTTCCCCTCACGAGGCGCTCGGATGGGTGTGCGTAGCGATGCGTGCAGCGTGAGACCTCCATGCTTCCAGCGTGCTGGTTGTTCTTGCAGGTGGGAAGCAGCTCTTTCTCCAGGCGGGACTCGGGCTCCCGGCGTAGAACGGAGGGTCAGAAATAATAATGTCAACGGAGAGTGGAGTGTGGCAGTTTGTTTTCACCGTGAAAGAGCAAGATGTGTGCCTCACACCTTTGCACATCTGACACCGAGGACGGTGCAGAACTTAATCCGTACGTTCTCTGTCATGAGCTCATTCCATTGGATCTTTTTGACTCCATCCCATTGTTTTTGACCCCGTTCAATCATTTCCCTGTTCTTTTTTTTTTTTATTGCAGTTTTTCTGTGCAGCAAAACTATATTAAATAACTGTGAAATAATATTTCTTATGTCTGAATAAAATGGTGGCATAAAGCAGAAAGCTGATGCCAGAAAATGGAATTGTGTTGGTGCTTCTGAGAAGTCATTCTAAGTCAGCCTGCACGTGTTTTGTTGTTGTTGTTGTTGTTTGTTTGTTTGTGAAGATGTAAGAAAAGTATTTGAAAATGTTGTAAGGAGAGATGAAGTCATCAGCACTTGAATGATACCAAACCGATAGGATAAGTGTACCCAGTGATGAGTGCGTTCCACCCCATTTTCTTCATGCCCAGCACTGGAACAGCAGAGCTGGAGTCAGGTGCATGCCAGGTGTCTGGCTGCCAATGGCAAAGCAAGGCCTCCAGCATCCACTGGTGACATGGAAAAGGCTGGCCTATTTTTTCAGCACATCTTCCTCCTATCATTTGCAGGCTGTGAAGTGCTTTGCTGTTGTGGGTAAGCAGCACCTTTTCAGTAGGCACAAGCAGCTGCCAGTAAGAAGGAGAGGCCCAAGCAATTAGCGCTTCCACGGTAGTTTTTCCCTCTCGGTCTTAGTGCTTTACTTCTCCGATTCTACTCATTTTAATAGAAGTATACTGTGAGGCCTCTCATACCTCTTCATTGCTAAGATCATGCCAAATAGGGAACCACTGAACAGCAGATGTGATTTAGGTGTTCAATAGCATATGTGAAATTCACTTCAACTTCTCTTTAGGAGGACTCTCCACTACAACTAGTGCCCTCTGCCTATTTCAAAGAGCTGTCAACCTAAGGACACCTCGCATGCAACGTAGTTAACAGCTATACGGAATGGATATATGTGCTGCTAACCAGAACCGCTGCATTTTGTGTCCACTATGTGCAGTGGGAAGCACAGAGCTTCAGGAGTTGCAGGCAGCCACCTAAGGGACCTGCAGCAGCAGGAGTATTTTGTCACCCTGTATGAGAGATGAGTAAGCTAAGGCATGCTAGTGTGGTCAGAAAATAAAGTGCCTGAATTTCTGCTGCCTGAGATTTACTGTGTCTGCAGTGAGAGAGGGGACTGTATTTCCCTGGGCTGTCAGTCAGGGCCTTCTGCACACACTGCGGTCATAGAATCATAGAATCTTAGAATCACAGAATCATAGAATGCTAGAATGGCCTGGGTTGAAAAGGACCACAGTAATCACCTGGTTGCAAACCCCCTGCTGTGTGCAGGGTCACCAACCACTAAACCAGGCTGCCGGGGATGACGGGAAGAAGAAGGGAGTGGGAGAATAGTGAATAATTCTGGCTTTCCATTTACGATTTTAGGCAAATTAGTCTCTTTGCATGCCCGCTTGGAGGCATTTCTGGCACTAGTCAGCCGCTGCTACCAAAAGTCGTAAGGTGCCATCCAGGGCCTGTGAGAAATATTTTAGGAGACAGCCAGTGTGTGCTAAAATTTTTCAAATTGTTTGGATATTATTCGTTGTTTTAAAACTTCACAGGAGTTTCGCTTTTAGTCTTTTCAGCACAAACTTGCATTGTTAAATGTCACTTTCCTGGCACTTCCATGGAATTGGGATTAAAAGTTTGGTGCCTCCACCTGATGTCGTCATCTGCTTACATGTATGCCTGTGTGTGGCCGGCACCAGGCTGCACAAGTGTCCTTCAGCAGAGGTGAAGCAGTCTGCTCAGCTGCACACACACTAGGGTCTGGGTCTCCAGCCCCCTGCATCCAGGGCATTTGCTGGAGCTTAGGGTTTGCCTGTCTTGCACTCAACTGGCAGTGGAACTCCTTTCACCACGCAAACTCATGTCCTTTCTTAATTCATCCATGGCATGACAAGTGGCCCATGGACAAAAGATCTGTGCTCAGATCACAGCCTTTTTGGATGTGCTCAGGTCTGAGCAGGAGCTCAGACTGAGCTGCAGCCTGGGTCTGCAGGCCCCAGTTCCTCCAAACACTGTGTGGCCAACTGAGGGCAGGAAGGCTGTAAGGCATCTCTGCCAGCATATGCTTCATCTGCACCGAGATTTGGAGCAGCCTGGAGAAGAAAGGCTGAGACAGATGAGGCCTTGCTGAGCCTGTCCTACTGCTGCTGCTTTTTTCCTGTGATTCGTGCCCACCCATGGTCCAGGGACAAGTGTGGCACCCTTCAGGTTAAAAAACAGTGGAGCAGGACGATGCATTAGTCAGCCCATTTTCCTCCTCAATGCACTTGTATAACATGGTAACATTAATATCAATTTATGTGCAAGTGCTGAAGGGAGGAGGTATTTTATCTGGCCTAAAGCTGCAGGATATCCACCTCAGAGCAGGAGCAGAGGCGCAGGATTGGTGCAGAACTGCCGTTCTTCAAGAACCACACTTTCAGGAAGTAGCCCTTCCCACCTCAGTCCCTTTTAGGAATGCTTTCAGTTTCTTGAGAACTCAGCAGAGGTTTGTAGAAGTCAAAGAAGAGGCCAGCTTCTGTTGGCTTATCCACAGGGGACTGTATTTCTTTGCTCCCATCCCCTACTTCTGTTATTTTAGAACATTAAAATTGTCAGGATGTTTTCTTCTGTGTAATTTCTAGATGCTATTCCTAAACGTCCTCTAGCTGTGCACCTACTTCCTGCTGCCTCCTATTAACTCTTCTTCTCATTTTTATGCCTCTTTTTACTAGCAAAGCAGCAATAACTGCAACCCTCTGACAAAGCCAGCTACCAAGATGTTGGATTTTGCAAACCATCTCTGGCCTAAGCTGCAAGCAGTTTAACGGGTGAAACAAGAGGGCAGGAGGGGAATGGGCAGGTGAATTGACTTGACAGGAATCTC